TCTCTTGCATCTACTTCTTTTGCCCATGAATTATTTTGGAAAGTTTTGTTTAATTTTGAAGCATTTGTGATTTTCTTCTTGTTCTGCTAGTCATTCGAGTTTGATGCCCCGGTGATAAGAGAAATACTCTGTATGATTTCAGTTCTTTGAAAAATGTTGATGTTTGCTTTATGTTCCAGACTGTGGTCTGTCTTGATATATCTTCCCTGCTCACTCAAGAAGGACATACAACCTGCTTTGGTTGAGAGGAATAGTCTATAAATGATGAATCGACCCTGCTGGGAAATACATTTGGGGGGAATTCTGTACCCTTCTTAATTTTCTGTCCAGTTGTTTATTAATTTTGGGGACTCTGATGTTGAAACCTCCAAATATAATTGTATATTTTTTTAATTTATTATTTTTGCTTTACATTTGTTGCAGCTCTGATTTTTTTTTTTTTTTTGTATATGCATATTTAGAATTTCTATTTCTTGGTGGATTATCCTGATTTTTATGTACATCAAAGTTCATTCCTTTTTATTGCAGAGCCATAGCATGCAATAGCCCCTCTGTTTCTGGTCATTTTCTTTCCCTGTGAAGTCCATTTTATCTGGTGTTTACATAATCACTCCTGCTTTCTTTTTATTGATGTTTGCATTACATACCTTTACTTCCAACATGCCTACATCGTTATATTGAAAGTGACTTTCTTATTGACAAAATAGATTTGGGTCATATTTTACAATCAACTGCAGATCTCTGTTTTTTTTTTTTTAATTTGTGTGTTTAGACCACTTACATTTCATGTAAGTATTGCTAGTTTATGGCTTAAGTCTGACATTTTACTTTTTTGTTTTCTGTTTGTTCTCTTGTTCTTTCTGTTTTTCATTTTACTATTTTCATTACCACCGGGAGAGAGTGACAGTCTCGACTCTCCCCCAGGTCTCCTCAGCCCCGCAGAGAGGGAGAGGGGTACCTGTTGCTACGCAGGGCAGTGGAAGATCAGGCTCCTTGGGCGGGGGGGCGGGGGGGGAGTGGCCTCATTACCTCCTGGGAGGGATGCACGTCCTGGCTTCCTTCTGGCCTTCTCCGCAATCACTGTGGTGGTGGCGGGAGTGCCTCATGGCTGCCTCAGCGCCATGGAAACTGAGGGTCCCCACTTGGCTTTACGGGTGAAGGTGGGAGTAGGCCTATAGCATTGTCCACGTTGTTTGGCTGCAGTGAGGTGGCTACTATCTCAATGTTTCTTGTTAGGCTGCCCTTTTATAGGTTTTTGACTAGGAGAAACAGCCTTGTTTTCTGTTGCCAGTGTCTTTAGCTACAAATCAGGGATCTGTAGGGCAAAAGGAAACCCCAGGGCTTCACCACGGCATTGTCCTCGGGTCCGGAGGGCCTAGTTCACCTGCCTCTTCTTTCCACCTTTCAGCTTCTTCTTGTTTGTTCTGCATATAATGTCCAGGACTTTTAGCTGAACGTACTGGGAGGAATAAATAAAAATATGTTTATTCCATCTTTGTTTGTTTTACATATAATGTCCAGGACTTTTAGCTGAACGTACTGGGAGGAATAAGTAAAAATATGTTTATTCCATCTTTGTTTGTTTTACATATAATGTCCAGGATTTTTAGCTGAACTGACTGGGAGGAATAAATAAAAATATGTTTATTCCATCTTTGTGGGAGCAGAACTTTCTAAATAGTCTAATTTTTTTTGTGATAAGCGATAGATCCAGATTTTGTGTTCTTGTTAATCCTCACCTAAGGATATTTTTTTCCATTGATTCCTAGAGAGAGTGGAAGGGAGAGAGGGAGGGGAGACAGAGAGAGAAACGTTGATGTGGGAGAGACACGTTGATTGGTTGCCACCTGCATGACCCTGACCACAGCTGGGGATGGAACCTGCAACCCAGGCAAGTGCGTTTGACCGGGAATCGAACCTGAGACCATCCAGTGCATGGGCCACTGCTCCATCCACCGATCAATACCGGCCAGGGCCAGATCCAGATTTTAATATAACGTTTCCTGGTTTATCTTTTTTTTTTTTTAACATTGAAAAATTAAACAACAGGCAGTCTAATTGCAAAATGTCTATAGGCTGACATTCTGTATATTCTGCTCAGTTTCCTAGGAAATTAGCTTTTTTGTGACTAAGATTTGTCATTTTTACCTCATTATATAAAAATTTCTATCGTTTGTCTGGATGTGACATTGCTGACAAACCTAACTATCAAGGGCATAGCCAAGAAAGGAATTCAGCAGGGGAAAATCACTGGGCAACCAAATTAGACATCAACATGTCCAAACAGAAAAGTTCTTGTACTTCATACCTAGGTAATAAGCCTTCAGGCTTTTTAAAGAAGGCTGTTAATAAGAGCGTGATTTTAAAAATACAATAAAAATCACATACCCACACTTAGAAAGTCAACCCACTTTCCAAAGCATGATATAAATGAGAGGAGATAGGTTTCGTGAGTCAGGAACAGTGAAAACATTCCAAAGTAATATCATGCAGTGAAGTAGGAGAGAGGAATGCATATATGTGTGTGCGTGTGTAATATTAATCCTCACCTGAGGACATTTTTTTTATTGATTTTTTAGACAGAGTGGAAGGGAGGGAGGGAGAGAGAGACACACACACCGATTGGTTGCCTCCCACATGACCCCACCAGGGCTGGGAATTGAACCTGCAACCCAGGCATGTGCCCTTGACTGGGAATTGAACCTGTAACTCTTGGGTCCATGGGCTGACGCTCTAAACACTGAGCCAAACCGGTCAGAGCCAGGAGAGAGGAATATTATAAAATCCACTCAAAATACCCAATTGCCTCCAAAATCTTTGTGACTCTTGGTGTGGGGTACAGTCCCATACCTTTAGTAGGTGCTGAAGGTTTTCCTCTGATGGTGTGTCGTTCAAGTGTTGAGGTTTATAATGAGAATGTTGAGTTTCAGGGATTTATAGTATCATCTCTCCCCTCTGTCTAATGCAAGTCTGGAAAGTACTTAGCTAAGAGAAAAACATTTTTTAAATCTTTCAGAGGACAAAACAAAACTACTTTCCGTAGACCACCACCATGTGTTAGGCAGCCTATTGGGAGCCTCCTGATAGTACCTGTTCTGATTTTCACTAAAACTCTGTTAAGTAGATACTATTATTTTTCATTCTCTCCGGTTGAGAACCTGAGTTTGAAAGGACCAGTGTTAACTTTGCAAGAACTCTGCCTGGTGGGCGTCCACGGTAAGATTGGCATCCAGTCAAGACCTCAGGGGTCTGCTCTTACTCCACAACGTTGGGGCCACGTGTTGGCAGGCAGCGGGGATGAGTTCTAGCGTTCGGCGATCGCATTCATGTTAAGACACTTGCACTGACTCTGCACAGAAAGGAAACACCCAGGCCCACACTCCCTCTTCGTGTCCTCTGAGCAAGTCCTGCTGATGCTCGAAGATGCTTCTCAACTTCCCGAGTCAGGAACTGTCGCCACAGGGAAACTGGAGGCTTTTTCCTACGCGATGGCGGCACCGCATGGCTGTGCTCGGCGGTGTTTCCATCGCCAAACGGAATTGTCCATGATGGCAGGCAGTCTTCGAGAAAGTGTACACGTAGTGTACGTGAGCGGGGTTCCCGAGGTCCAGAAGGACCTCTTGGAGTGAACGATCCGGCAGGGACGAAGTTGGTCTCTGCCGTCTTGGGCCAGGTCCAATCCACATTGTGCACCCACGGGCCGGGCCATTGGTGTACAGAGACATCCCACCACAGCGTGGAAACTAAGCAAAGAAGAGGAGAGGGACCCCGGACCACACACCTTCCCCCCCAGTCATTGCTGACACCCTGGGGAGGCAGCATGGCAGCAGCCTCATGAAGAAATCAGTACCCTGCTCGGGTTGCAGTTCCATTTTGATTAAAACCCTTGCTTGTCCATCCATCCAGGCCCTGGCCCTGGAGTCCCTGCTGCTTTGCATGGCCCATGAAACCAGTAAGAGCCTATCATTTGGAACCTGGAGGCGTCTCGGCGTTGCTGTCGTATTTGCTCAGCAGAAGGCTAGTGGGTTCTGAGTGGTGCTGGGCATACACATCCAGGCCCAGGGTGTGAAGCCACAGACTGCGGGCTCCCTGGTGGGCGGCGCGTATGGGAGGGTGTCTCCATCGGCTCGCCCTTGGAGCCAGCACCCTTCCCCGTCTGTCTTTCCTGCGGCGAATATCCCAACCACGGGCGGGACGGTAGCGGTGGGCTCAGGTGGGTGATTGAGTTGTTGTGGCATTTAGACCTCTCGTCAGCACCTCCTCCACTTGGCAGATGACAGACGACGAGGAAAAACCAGTGACCAGGTGTGTCCAAGACACAGCTTGTCAAAGGAGAGAGAACTGATGAGTGTGCGGAAGGCTCATGGAAGGAATTGGAGGAGGATTGTTTGCTTGTCAAGACTACCTTGTATTATCCTTCTCCAGTCCCAGAAAAGCGATTTCCTGTTAGTCAGGTGGACTTGGTATCACTGCAAAGCATCAGCAGCGTCTATTTATGCCTCACATACTTTTATTTTTATTTATTTATTTGATTTTCGTTTCCCCCCACCTCCACTATAGCAAAAAGAGACTAGAATCAAAGATATAAAGTCAGTTTTGCTTCCGACTGCTTCGTAGTGAGATCTTGTCTTAGAATGCCAACTGTATCCTGTCGTCCCCGCACACACAGAAAATCACGAGTTGCCTTATTTTTCTATTACTCCCTCCCCCCAATCTATTAAATTAAACAACAAGGAAATTAATTTACTGGATCGGGTTCTTCTATCCAGGCTGATTGCCGCAGTCCACATTAAGCATTTGCAGAAGCGATTGCGTGGCGCTGACCACATCTGCCTTTGCATGTTGTTATCTGAGTCAGAGTGTGAGTCAGAACCGAGGGCAGCATTTCTTATGATCACAGTGTCGGTTGTTTCCTTGGATGTTTCTAGGTGGCAACGTGACACGTGCCGACACTCGGGCCGACTTCTCTGAATCATCAGCATCCCGCCTGATCTGCACTAATGGATGTAAAAGACCGGCGACACCGCTCGCTGACCCGGGGGCGGTGTGGCAAAGAATGTCGCTACACGAGCTCCTCCCTGGACAGCGAAGACTGCCGGGTGCCCACGCAGAAGTCCTACAGCTCCAGCGAGACCCTGAAGGCCTATGACCACGACAGCAGGATGCACTACGGAAACCGGGTCACAGACCTCGTTCACCGGGAGTCAGATGAGTTTCCGAGACAAGGTATGTGGAGCGGTCCCCACCGACTGGCTGTCTTACGTGCCCGGCTTGCACAGCTGTGTGTTGCTGATGATGAAGGTTGGTGAAAATGGGGAGCGAAACATGGTGCCTTGAGTGATCCGTCAGAGCTTGGGTGACGAGAACATGCCTCTGTCCAGCTCCTTTGGGTATCACCCAAGTGCTTCTTTGGGCCTGGACGCCCAGTTCTTGGACAATTTGGTGGTTGCTTTTGGGGACACACCATGGTGGGTTTTAACAGGTGTAACCTAACAGCAGACCCTTGACTCCATGAGGAATATATTTCTCTTGAATTACAGTATTTTGATTTCTTGGGGGAAGAAAATATTTGTCTCCCAAGTACTAATAGTTGACTTCTCTTCATGTTCGATATCCGTAAGGAATTGGTTCTCACCTGTCAAGGGTTGCGTATGGACATGCAGGCAAAAGCAGTCTAGCCAAGTTGATTCACTAGCGTGGTGTCTTGCATCCTGTGGTCAGCTTTGCTCTGTGAGCAGTTGACATGACCAGCTGAGCTCGGTTACCAGCCAATGCACAAAAATACAGTGGGTGCGCCGAGGAGGTCACTCTGCCAGTGCCAAGTGTCCGGGCCCTGCCTGCCAGGTTATTATGTTACTGAGTTATTTCTTGTTACAGTAAATGTTGCAACTCATTTAATTCCGCAGGAGATACCTTAGCTTGGGTTCTAGTCCGTTTGGGCTGCTCTGACCAAAGCCAATATACTAGTGGCTTATAAACAACAGAAATATCTTTTGCACATTTCGGGAGGTTGGGCTTCCAAGATGAAAGTATGGCCCTGGCCGGTTTGGCTCAGCGGTTGGAGCGTCGGCCTGCGGTCCTGAGAGACCCGGGTTCGGTTCCCGCTAAGGGCACGTACTTCGGTTGCAGTTTGTCCCCGGCCCTGGTTGGTCGTGCGGGTGGCAGCCACTCGATGTGTCCCTTCACGTCGATGTTTCTCTCACTCTCTCTCTCTTCCTCTCTCTCTGTACAAAAAATGGAAAAATGTCCTCAGGTGAGGATAAAAAAAACAAAAACAAAAACAAGAAAGTATGGCCAGATGTGGTCTCTGATCAGGGCTCTCTTTCTGGTTCACAGACATTTGTCTTTCTCTGTCCTCACATAGCTGAAGGGGGCAAGGCAGCTCTCTGGGGGCTCTTTTATCCCGGGCACTAAACCCATTCATGAGCACTCCACCCTCATGACCTGCTCACCTCCCAAAAGCCCGGCTTCCAAATACCAAAGGGATTAGGTTTTAATACAGGAATTTGGAGGGTCACAAACATTCAGCCTATAGCAGCCTGGAATTCCATTGCTGATTTCTTAGCTTCCTTAAATGACTTATCTTTTCTTTACTTCTTAGAAAATACTATTTATATATACTACATAAATGGAATTTATAATCCAGTGGCTTTAAAATATATATATATATATATATATTTTCATATGCTCCCGGTTTAGCCTCGCTCTTGCTTTTGTATTTAACAAAATATTCCCCCAAATCAGCCAAGAAACAGTTAAGATCACGGTTCTGTTGCAATTGTACACCCTTGCAAGATACAATTTCTATTCAATCTTCACTCTGATTTTCGGAGATATCTTCATGTAAATGAGACACATTTCAAGCAGGGGATGGTTGCTTGAAAATGGCTGTTTGTCAAATGTCTTTGATCTCTGAGTGACCCCAGCAACTGGGTTCTCACCTCATCCCAGAGCACATGTAGTGGGAATGGGGGGAAATCTACGAAGAATCACAGCTTAATTAATTAAGGGGATGCTTCCCTTCCCGATGTGAAAAGTGGTGACACCTCTCTGCTGTTTCTAAGAGCATCACAAACACAAGACGTGGGTACTTTGAAAAGTGACGCACATTCAACGTGGTTGAAAGCCTTTCGTTGTCCGGCCGCTTTTCGGGTTTCATTTGCGGTGTTGCTGCACACAGTCTGTTTGCCCTGGTTCTTTGCTGAAATGTAGACTCTTCTCCCTGAGTCTCACGAAAGGTGCATCCTGGCTTCTGCGTCAAGTGCACTGAGCTGCAGGTCCCAGATGATTGTTGAGCTGTGGGCTGGCCCGTCACCTTTTCCCTTATCAATATGTACGTAAAAGGAAACCAAGCGCTCGGGGTTTTGTTTTCAGATGGCTCTTTCTTCCCCCTGTTCAGTCCCGTTCCTCTGTTCCTCTGCACCGATAACAATGGAATGTGCTGGGCCATGTCGGACTCATGGCGTTGCCGTTAGCAATTCGCACATGCCGTGTGTTGTTATTGAGCCCATATTTGTTTGTGCAGCGTGTTTGCATGAATTAAAAACTGTGCAGGCCAAAACTGAAAACGAAAAGGCATTGGGAGGGATTTGCATATGCAAGTGCAGTTCCTTCTGAAGACATCTATGAATTTATGCATGAAAATGTAGTCAGAGTCTGAGTGGGTCTACTTTGATGGCTTCTAAAATTGAACTCTGCAGGAAGTAAATAAGCACATATTTAGGGAGAAGAGGAACAGGAGACACAATCTGGCAAGCAACGCATTCCACACGAAAACTTAGCCTCCACGGAGAGGGTTAAAATACATTTTACGCTCAGCAATAACAATGATTTTTTTTTTTAAATGTCATGCATTTCCCATTTTATTTTCTTATTCACGAAATCAAAGAGCAGGATCATGTCAGTACTTATTAGCCTAGAGGTACATTAGCGAGGATCAGAGTGTGATCATCTCCTGTGGTATTCTTGTCTAAAACCCAAGACGCTTATTATAAAACAAACAGGCTTCTCGCATGCACGCGAGTTTGGCAAACACAGTCGGATGACTCTCCAGATGCTCAGCATGGAAAAGAATTGCCAGCCACTGAAGGGCTGCGGGGCCAGGGTCAGACCTTGTCCAGTTTCCCCAGCTGGCCAGCTGCAAGTTATCCAATGTGAGAGGCTGCCAGGTCCCAGCAGGAGAGAAGAGCCAGGAGTTCCCCCGAGAAGCTGATGGAGGCTGCCGTCAAATTCTCCTTCTTTGCTTGCCGTCCGCACACAACCTCCTCTGCCTTCTTCTCCCGTGGGGCCTCCCGAGCAGAGACAATGCGTAGCACCTGGCTGACCTCTTTTGTGCTGGGTCCTTCTGTGAAGGGAGAGGATTGCTGACCTTAGGTCTGTGGCTATGCGAGCGATTGGTAATTAGTTCATGACTAATCCTGCAATAAATAGCATCCTAGCGGCCGCAGCGTTAACACCCCTGACAAAGTGACCGGCGGTCTCATCTGGGATCAGACTCCGACCGAGTCTGGCCCGCGCAACAGACGCCGTCGTGAATAACGGAGGTCGGCCCAGTTCCCGGGCAGCTTGTGTCGGCTTGTTCGCAGGGACTCTGAAGTGAGGGTGCAGAGCCGTGTGCTGTCCCACACGGGCTGCCACGTCTCAGGAGCCTGATTCCGCCTTGAACTCTCCTTCTGTGTGCCTGTGTGCCTGTGACTGGTCGGCATTGGTCCACAGCATTCTGGCGCACTGAGCCGCAGGAAGGATAACGGAAGAAGAGGGCTGAGACGTCCGCACTTTTCACATGCCAGGTACCAGCCTAAGCATTTCACTGGTTCCAACTCAGTGAACCGTCCCGGCAGTGTTGCCGGCTGGGGACTAGTAGCCCTCCCTTGTGTGCGGAGTAGGAAACCAAGGAGAGATTGAATACGGCATCCATGGGCACGAACTTGGGAAGGGGTGCAGACAGGGTTCCACTCAGAAAGTTGGGTCCCAGCGCTGGGTTTTAAACAGGGTTTGAGCACCTCGCTGACATATACATAAACCAACAAAAAACAAGTCATTACAGCTTCCAAGGCTAGGAAGGGTCTATGAAATTCAATGTATAAACACGTTAGGGGTCCACCCCTTGAAACCTTTCTTAATAACATGGAAACTGCAGTCGCTAATATTGACTGGACAGACAGTGAGGGCTACCCCAGCCCCACTGGTCTGTACTCCCCATTGTCCTGCGTTACCAGAACTACTCCAGCCCCCTGGAAGTGTTTCCGGCTGCATCCCGTCTCTCTTAGCCTCTGCCATAGGGAAAAGTTTCTACCGTCCAGATCTGTGCCAGGCTGTCAACACAGGCTCCCTGCCCGCCCCTCCAGGCATCACCCCCTGGCACAAACTCTCCACCTGGAACACCAGCCAGCGAAGTTGTCTCTATCTAAATGACATCGCTCAGGTAGGCAGAACGGACAGCTTTCGGTGCTGGCCAAGGACCAGCGGGCCCGGCAGCTTCAACCCCGCTTCTCGCTGCTCAGGGAGTTCCTCTGCCCAGCTGGTGGTGCCCGTCTCCGAAGCGGGGGCCAAGACTGAATTCTTCCGCTGCACCGCAGGCTGGCCGTTGGGTCAAGGCAGAGAAGGAACTCGGGGGAAATCGGATTTTTGAACATAGGCTTGGATCAGCTCTCTCTGTCACAGAACTACCTGTCACCAGCCCTTCAGTGACCCGTACACATACCGAAACACATGCACACACCCCCATATGAGGCTAGGCTTGATTTTGTTATTTCATAAGCCACTTCTCACTTCTGCGATCTTCAAAAAGAATTCGAGCGATATTTTTCACTCTGTGAAATTTGCCAGAGCATCATTTAAGCCGTGTTAATGAGCTGAAAACTCATGAGCAACTAGCAAGCGACAGCGTTACCTGTCTTGATTCAATTAATCTATATAGTAATTGTCAACAGACTTGGAAAACCTGTGAGCGTCTCTGTCTACACCCATGTCGGCAAATAGTTTTGTTTTTCTTTTTTTTACGGCACCCAAAGCCACAGTTGGAAAGGTTTTATTTTGAAAAATGTCAATCCTTTAATTTACCCTACAAAGAACAACTTTGAGAGTTTAGTGAAGTTCAGGAGTGTGCTTGGTCAATACTTGGAAGGCGGAAACGTACCTTGAGAAGATTGCTTTCAAATTATTCTCCTGCCTCTAGGCAGGGCTTCTGTTCATAACTCACCTGAGAATACCTGGTACCTCTTAGT